TATGTTTCAGCTGTTCGATCGCACCGGCGTCTCGCTCGCACACACCCCACATATTCTAGCAATTCAAACTTACATCGCAGTCTGTTCATTATCAAAATAAAATACAGTCAACCAAACATATAAAAGGTTACACTGGTCGGTTTAAATAGACCGTAGTATACTGGTCCACTCTGCTGTTATGCCAAGGACGTTTTTGCTCATGTGAAGAGGATGATCTTTTCCGTCTATATGCGAATGCGTGTAAAGTACAAGCCTAGTTTACATTATAAATAATAGTTTAACATTCAAATACATTGCGAATATGGAAAGATTTGGATTTGTGCCGAATGAGACGTGAGGAATAAGCTCCAAAAACATCTAGCCAAACCCTCGCTCGCGCCATCTCGTATGCACGCACGCAAGTATGCACTGTCACGATCTAATGCACTGTAAATGCCGGATTTTTACAAACAAATAGGCCTACCGGAATGCAAAAATTTAAAATCTGACATTTTCCGGAACAGGATCCAGCAGGATCAAATTAAGTACTGGTCATAATACTCACATAATAATGTTTCATGTGAGCAACAGTTTGTTTTGCTGCAGCAACGATGATGGAAGCGGTTCACTGACTGCGCAGCACAGCCACACGCGCCACAGTTACGTTTGGGATCATTTTATTTTTAATGCCATAATGTCAGTTGAAAACATTGCAATTGTGTTTTAAAATACAATAACGAGCACCACGAAACCATTTAAAGAGGCGCGTTGAGCGGTACCTGTGACGGGATAGGAAACAGTCAACAAAGTAAAATGATCTCAAACGAGCTCTCTTCATTTTATCAAATGATCATAATCACATCTATTAATTTTACAATTCTGCTAGCCTACTAGCATTTTATTCAGACTAAATCCCCTTTAAATCGGGTGAGAAAGCGTTTTTTTTTTTAAGTAACTTTTGCACGTCCTGTCATGCCGGGCTGCATAGATGCATTTTGCAGCATTAAGGTTAACGATTAATCGATTAATTGATCGTTAATTTATACGACGATCGATCATGGAAATGATCGAAAATTGACATCCCTAGTTTAAATAAAGTAATCAGCAAACACTGTGGAACCAAATAAATAAGAAACGAATGTTTAAAAAAAACTTACAGTCAATAGGCTTTTCAAAATCTAAAATATTGCCAAACAGGCGCCTTTGCATTTCCTTTCTAAACAATCTTCTGCCATCGTCTTGTCTTTCTCACCTCACTTTTGTCAGTCAGCTCGACTCGGTGCCGCGATAGGCAAATGACGTAACCGGTGTTGCGGCTTAACACCGGTATAACCGAAAACACCATCTATCGCAGCAAGCCTATTAAGAAGCTGCTTTCCAAAGAATTACATAAAACAATTAGATATTAGCATTGTTTGCATTACCTCAATTTCACATTTAACAGATGAGGGACAGCTGAATTTCATTTGTTATCATCTCACTGAATAAAACAGAGACTCCCGTGCACGATCCAATATCAAGTTCTGACTGGGCGCAGAAGGAAAGAAATTAAGGAACAGATCATGACAAAGAGGTGAGTGCTAGACATTCTATGGAAAATTTCAGTGGTATTATACACTGCATGAATGAATCTAAAGTGCTGAGTCATTATTCACAAACAAGTTTCTTTACATGTGGGATAAAAGTGCTGATGGAGGATCAGGGTCTCGATCCTGGTGGATGATGATGGATATAATCCGTGTTAATTTTTTTTGTCTTGGACATCTTTAAGAAGACAATGTAATCGGTGTGTAGTATATGAGTGGACTATTGATCACCTTTTATTATTAAATGGCTTATGTGAACAATGCAAATATTAACCTCACGTCTGTCCCGAGACCCAGAAAGCACGACCAATCCAGTTCAAAAGGGCAAGACAGATACCCTAAGATACATTATCAGACTTTTAAAGATGTCTCATTCTTTGATGAATAATTTATTGTAGCCATAATGGATTCAAAATATGATAATTTATTATATAAAATTATATTCATTATGTGTTTAATATGATTATTGATGATTGTGATTGTTTTTATGCTGTATTTGTTCTAAGACCATTTACCTCTATTGATTTGCATGACATCAGTTACATAAAAGGAACAAATTTTCTTATTTATTATGCTCCTGTGGAACTTAATTTGAATTTACAAACATGTTTAATTGATGTGTCGTAGGGCTGGACGATATGGCCAAAATTTATATCACAATATATTTCTTAATTTCGGTCGATACGATATAATTCCGATATCGATATGAACACTATTAAAAAAGCCTCATAAAAACGGCCAAGAACGGCCACAACAGATGTCTGTACCTACAAACTTATGAAAAATTAATTTGCCAACTCTATGAAACCTACTCCTATAAAACTATATAATATTTTAGGAAAAAAATGGCGCAAATAAATAAATGTTCACCTTTTATTGGTATTCAGCCTTCATACAAACAAGAAATGTGAAATCACTGTCAAATAAATCTCAGACTCTCCTTATTAATATTAATATTAATATTTTTTTACTTCAAACTATAGGCTAACATACCAGTCAAAAGTTTTTGAACAGTAAGATTTTTTATGTTTTTTAAAGAATTATCTTCTGCTCACCAAGCCTGCATTTATTTGATCCAAAATACAGCAAAAACAGTAACATTTTGAAATATTTTTACTATTTAAAATAACTGTTATTCACACCGGCTCTTGAAAACCTCTATGCGAACACACTTGCCCGATAAAAGTGCGGGGGACGAATTTACGGGATATCAAAAGTGGGGGGGACACGTCCCCCGCGTAATCTATGCCCCTGCTTTCAGATATTTATAAAACTGTGCCATTTTACAAACAAACACACACATATACATATATATATATCAGTCTGGCGAGTAAACTAAAATTACTAGCCAATGGCGATTCAATTGCCAAGGTATATCGCGATACATATTGATATTGAATTATTGTCCAGCCCTAATGTGTCGTGCTTAGATAAATAAAGTGTGTGCTAAAAAGTTATCTAGTGGAAGAAAGACCAAAATCTCTATTGATTTGCATGACATCCGTTACATAAAAGGAACAAATTTTCTTAGTTTAATTGATGTGTCGTGCTTAGATAAATAAAGTGTTTGCTAAAAAGTTATCTGGTGGAAGAAAGACCAAAATAACCACGAAACCTGCATTCCCTGTCCATATTTGCAAAAGGACAGGGAATGCAGTTTTTGTGGTTATTTTGGTCTTTTACTCTGATAATATACATATAATGCAAATGCTGTTTTTTTTTTTAAATCACAATACATGTGAAGAGAATAACACGCACTAAATGAACACGGGACAAGGATGAGCCTCATTTACCACAAAGTGTTTTTAAACCATTTCTGAAAGGAAATGCGACAACACTATTCCATCACCATGGAGATGCCAATTAGACTGCTGTAAAGCCAGTCTGAGCCACAGGTGAACATGCCACTTTGTACGGCGAACAAGACAAGACCCCTGCTGTTTTCAGAAGCGACATTAGAAAGCACAAGCTTTTGCTGCAACGCTTGATAACTAGGGGACAGAAATGTTCATCCACTTGAAGAATATGTGAGCGTAAGTTTGTACATGTATCAGCTGATGTTTTGTTATGCAAAAGAAAGTCATACAGGTCTGGAACAACATGAGGGTAAATAACATTTTTCAATATGAGTTGAACTATTGAAATAGTCATTTTATCTGCTATTGACCTAAGCATCAAAATAATTACTGGCTTATCGTATCTGTCAATGTTAATATTGGTGCAACCTTTAAAAAAATAAATAAAATGCTTAAAGGGACAGTTCACCCAAAAATGAAAATTCTGCCATTAATTACTCACCCTCATGTCGTTCTAAACCCGTAAGACCTCTGCTCATCTTCAGAACACAAATTAAGACATTTTTGATTAATTCTGAGAGCTCTCTGACCCTCCCATAGACAGCTCGAGAGTATCTACTATCCACAAAAATCTAACACGTTGTTTTAGTTCAAATCAAAGCGTAAACAACGTAGAAAACTTTTTCTATGTTGTTTACGTTTTGATTTGAACGAAAACAACGTATCTGTGTGATGCAGCTGACACAGAATAGCATACGCTGTTTGCGTTCAGTGGATACTCTCCACAATGGCACCAGGGTGACACGGAGATGACGAATTGTTGAATAAAGTCATTATTTTTGTTTTCTGTGCGTACAAAAAGTATTCTCGTAGCTTCGTTTTTTAAGTTTTGGGTGAACTAACCCTTTAAAACAAGGTATTAGATAAATCCACTCGAGTAGCTATAAAATATTAAAGATAATAAGAGTTGCTGTCAGTGCAAAGTAGGGCTGGGCAATATGACAATATTATCGTATATCGACGATGTCTCGTAACTATCGCGATGTCGATGTCAACAGTCAGGTAACAGACGATTATCGACATTATCGGGAAAAAATGACAAATGATAAACCTAGTAAGTTGCAAAAAATATTTTACATAGCCCCATAGTCACCATACATTTTTTTTTTGCATGCAAGAATTAAATAATTTAGTAGGAAGGTTGGGAATCGAAAAGCTATTCCAATTTCGAAAATAAGATCAGATGCGTAAGGTCAGGAATCAAATTACTTGTTATAAAATTACATTTCGATTCTGCGTCTCGATTTATGTATGCACATTTATTGTGATTTTAAAAGATTCAACTGCAAGAAGATGAAATAGAATTCGTTTCTGCACTCGCGCGCTGTTTTCCGCGCTGCGCACTCACACACACAAAGCGCACGCAAAAAAGCTGCCTCTTATATACGCCAACACTGGACTGAGCTCTCTTTCTCGCGTTCTTACACATTCGAATGGCCAAATACACACAGAAGTATATCAAAATATCCCATAAATACAATCGGTTATGTCTTAAGTGAACGTAAAGAGCTCAAATCACGATTTTATGACGATTTTGATTAATCGCACAGCCCTAGACATTACTATATGACATCAACATGCATTTATCATTCTTACAATCACCGCCAGAATGTCCAACTTCAACATTATGAACTTAAAATTGGGTTCTATTATTTTTCCTCAACAGTTCTCCTCACAAAACAAAATTCATTTCAAACACAAATTTGATAAGAACAGAGTGGGAATTATTAGCAACACCAAAATAACAGCAAAGCTAATGTTTTCTGTTAGTTTAAGCACAAACTAAGAAAAGTAAAACCAAACTTTGTGGCAATAATTAAGACCAAACTAAATTTCGGCAATGCTGTCTCGGCGGGGGCGGGGCGCGGTGGGGTTTAGGTAGACGATATTATCATTTTTAAAGGCGATTATCGATAAGATATTTTTGACATATTGCCCAGCCCTAGTGCAAAGCTGATTTTTTTTTCTTACTGCATTGAAAATTTGTAAATTGTTTTAAGGATAAATCTTACCAAATTATGTTACAATTAAGCTTAAAAGAAGAAAAAAAATGGTAGAGTGCTAAGAAAAATAAACTATATATTCCTAAAAAAAAATACCTTCTTAGCCTAATATATTTATTAAATTCATCTGAGATGCAAATTTCAGCTTGTTATAGAATATTTAAACTTTTTTTTTCGTGACCAGAAAATGTTAAGATTTTTGTTTGTTTGTTTTTTGTAGAGCGGCCGAAGTCCAAAAAGCCCAGTTCCAACTCCCAATTTTTTCCCACCTTGATACAGCTCTGGTCCTTTCTTTAATGTTAATCTGTGTGATTTTCTGCTCATTTTCTATCATTGATCTCTTAATAAATAATAACACCTTTCCTTAACAAGAAACACGATTCGAAGTAGTATCTTTCAAATATGTAGTACAAACAGTGCAGGACAAAATGCATGTCATAGTTTCACGTTCAGTATTAAGTGTTTGTTTAAATCACTAAACATATACAATAGTAATAGATATTCTTGCCTTAGCAAACAGCACAAAAAAAAGCTGCTGGGGAGGGGTTGTTGTGAGTATACGATCAGTCTGTGCCAGAGGAGTTTCCTGGCATAACAGTGCATCTGGCACAGATCTGGCATGTTGTCCTATCACCATGGGCACAACACTGGATTATCCCTGCAAAGTAAAATACCCACCTTGTGACGCCCCTGCTAGTCCATTACACAACTGCTTAACACATGCACTGGCATTAAAAACACACTGACCGTCTCTATTGCTGGCATATATACGTGCATCTAGTGTGCGTGTATCAGTCGGTCAGTAGTCTGTCTGCCTGTTCCTCTTTTTCAACAACATCTCTCACACACACACACACACACACACACACTTTGAAGTCCACCGTAGAAAGACAAACAAGAGCTGTGACTATTTCAACAAACTAATGATTACAGACTTTCTGTACCGAGTGGAATAATTCCAGACTGAGAAGTCCTGAACCTGACCCCTCTCAACCTCAATAACCTTCAGGCCTCATTTACGCACATGCACAAACCTGACAGATGCATTATTTGATATCTGTCAAACATCTAACTACTTTTACCTTAAATAAAGTTTCCATATTTTAAACATGCCTACAGAATAGCACTGAACTCCATGTGGAACAGCATGGCAGGCTCTATTAATAAAACCAAAAACAAAGTGGCATCAGTTTGATCGATCATACAGCATGCACAGTGACTTCGCCCTATAACTCCACATGCATCTGTACAGCGTGTAAATGGCCTGATCGATAATATACTCTCATTTCCACTAATTCAGCTGCTCTTTTTTTAACTTAGTAGACTGAGATCTCCGTCAAGACACAATAATGCACTTACAATAGATCAGCAAGCAAGGACCCCGCGGGAGAGATAAGCATAAGCGCCAAATGGGTTTAAATTAATCTTTAAGCGTGCTTTTATTTAGTAAACAGATTTGTAAAGAAAAACGGAGTGGCAAACATGACGGGAGAGGCGGTTTATCTGTACGGTAAACCTAAGAAACGCATATTAATAAACAGATGTGTCTGGTAATGTTTCCCAAAGCGCAACAAAACATAACATTTAAGTGCAATTTAAATGCAGAGACTCGGGCTAGGCTAAACATCACGCTAGCCATCAATCATCGATGCACGTTTTAGTCCCTTACCTCCACTTTTATTCTCCAGCGATGTGTTGGTTACCTGAAATGTAAAAAAAAATCCTCAAAAGCCCATGTAAGTGGAGTAAATCAAGGGTGTTTAGAGACGTGAAATGTTTAATCCTCTCGCGAGCTGCTGTGTTTTGTGCTCTGCCAATGACCACTCAGCTGCCCCAAAAATAACAACACCCAGCCCCTCAATGGCCCGAAACTCGAACCCGGTCGCCCAAACTCATCCCACAACACTTATTTGACGCGTTTAAGGCTTTTAATAACCTCTTCGTGGACGTCCCGTAGGTCTGTGAGAGATATTACGGTGGTGGTGATGGTATCGTGGATAGGCCTCCGTCTAGCGACTCAACGGGAGCACAAACAGGAAATGACCTCAGCGCACGCTCGGCGCACGGGCAACGTCCGACATTTGAAAAGGTCCGTTTTTTGTGTTGCCGTTTGTCAATAATGCAATGATAGCGAGGTTAGGATTTTATAATAAAATCATAAATGTCCGGATTGTTTCGTCGGTTGCTATTTCAATATTGTAATCAAATGTACGTTTACTGTATAAGCTCCCTCTACAGGTTATCTGCCACAGTTTTGCAGGGTCCATTTTCATAATTTCAGGCTTGTTTACTCCAATGTAAGTTTTTTTTGGGGCGGGGGATCATGGTATCATATGGGACATCACAACAGATATGTGTAAATATATGAGATATAATAGCCTAGAATAGAATAGAATAGAATAGAATAGAAATGAATTCCTTAGTTTTTTCCTTCAAGTTACATAGGTGGTGACAAGAGACTGTCCTTATGAGTGAGTCATTTAATCTTTAACTCAACTGATTCCTTAGTTAAGAACCAAAATAAAAGTTGCTACGTCCCAATTCGCCTACTTGATGCCCTAAACGTATTTTTTTTTTACTTATTTAAAAGAAGTACCTGCTTAGAAAGTATGTGATTTCGGATGCAGCCATGAGTGATTCATTGAATCATTCAGCCGAAAACACTGATTCATTCATGAACAAACACCACTACTAGTTTGGCAATCACTGCATTTCATAATAAACATGAAAACAAAGTCTTTCCGGTTTGAAAAAATTTCCAGAATAAACAGTTACTCAAGGTCATTCTGGATATGATGAAGACATAGCCAGCTATACATCACCAGTGTTTAGTAACTTGCATCATTATTTGTTTCATACATGTTACTTGCTTGAGAGGTGCTTTATTTATCTTAAAATTTAAAAGAAAAAAAAAAGAATTAAGAAGAATCAATAAATCATGAATAATTCACTGCCATTGTGTGAATAATATAGACTAATGTAATCCATAAAAAAAAAATGTCATCTAATAATGTGCATTATAAAATTTAATATACTCTAATTATGAGTACTTTATATTTTTGGACTCTGATTAGGTAATCTAGATTACATGTAATCAGTTACTACCCAGCACGAACTACGCTATAGCAGCCATAATTGTGCAGTGACAGGTTCAATTTTGTCTGAAGTCTTTTTTTATTGAACTGGTCCATAAAAGCAACTTCGTCGCACTATTTGTACTAAATGATTACCATAACACGATACATGTCTGTGGTTCTTTTTATGACCTTGTTTATTTCCATATGACGCGGCCAGTGGATATCGAAAAACATGCGTGACAAAAGAAAACATTGAAACTTTCTAAAGAACCGATATTATCTGAAGAATTGTAACGTGTGTACTGTTATTGCACTCGGTTTGGTCTGTTGTTGAGGTTATTCTAATCTTCTATTCAGAAATCAAATGTGTTTATCAGGGTTGGCTTCTAAAAGCAGAGTGAGATAGTAGTTGTTGACAACTTTGCTTGGGTTCATTCATAACAGGAAACAATAGCACATTATCCTTCTGCTGTTGCTCTCAGCCACGGCTAAACAAACATCTATATGGTCAAAGAAATTGTTTCATGGATTTCATAAGGCTGTTTTTATTATGCCCAGTATGTGTGGATGACAATACATGTGCCTGTATTAACCTGTATTATCATATCTATTTTCTGAAACACAACTAACAGTTAAATCAACAGAATAAAATCTAATGAATATGCCAAATGTGTTTGTGGCAAGGCCATAAAATATGTTTTTCTTGTGATATGTGGTTGTAAAAAAAAAAAAAAAAAAAAAGGGAGAGAAGGTTTAGATGCTCGGTTTTTATTATTTATTTATTTTTATTTCATTTTATTATAATTGTGCACTCTGAAAGCTGTTTATATGGCAACATTTACCATGATGGACTACCCGTTTGCGACTTATCATATCTATTTTCTGAAACACAACTAACAGTTAAATCAACAGAATAAAATCTAATGAATATGCCAAATGTGTTTGTGGCAAGGCCATAAAATATGTTTATTGTATATGTAGTTGTATGATGATTGGAAAAAAAAAAAGGCAGACACAAGTGCAGTAGAAGAAGCAGCTGTATTTGACTATAAAGGCATCTAATCCAGTGTCTCTATGCAATTTTCTTTATATATTTCAGTGTAAAAAGCCTATATTCTATAAAAAAAAAATTAACAGAAAACTGAAAATAACAATCTCTGAAAAGAAAACATTATAATCACAATAAATCCCCATTCACCAATCATTTCAATTAAAATAGAAACATTATCTCAAGTTTTCTATCTTTTTCCCTCAAAACAAATATATATTTATATTAATATGTATTTTCCAAGGCAGTTTGGCATGGCCAAAAGACAAAAATAATCATGGCCATATTATTTCATAACTCAACACAAAGATTGAAAACATCTCAAATGAGGGCTGAAGCTATGACAACAGTTCTTTCACACCACCAGATAGTGGCGGTCAGGTGACCGCATACAAGATGGCACTGATAAACAGAGGCAAGTGCAGCCGTACATCCATAAACACAAACATGCATCCACACACATGAAACACAAAGCTCTGAGCTTCCAATTAAAGTGAAAAATATGCTTTTGTTTTCCCTAAACCAGGTCTGATGTGAAAATCTCCCAGCATAAAGCGCAAGGGTGGGACCTGACATGATGGTCCGGTCATAAGGTGTGAGTGTGGTAGATAGTGTGTACTGCAGGTCTTTTTCTCCCAGATCCATCTTGTTTTTGCCTTCTTATTGTTGCATCATAGCTCTGCGGGTCTGTATATGGCCATTACAGTCACTGGGATAGTTGATATGCTATATTCCCTGAATACAATAACTTTAGGCAAGTATTGAGTTTATGATGAGGACTTATGCACTGTGTATTATAGGAATCAAGCGTGAGGGTGACAATATGTACGGTATGTAAAACATTAAGTGGAAAACAAAATGTGTAAAACTAAAGGAAATGGATGAATGTGAAAGAAAACATAGGCAGGTAAACAAGGAAGCTCATCTTGGGTTGAATGATAACGATTAAGGGTTAAGTCCCTGGGTGTGTGTATGTGTGTGTGTGTGTGTATCCCTGGGTTCTCAGGACCAAGTGATCCCTTCCCATCAGTTTCTGTGGGACTATGTAGATCCTCGTTTCTGTAACTCCTGAATAAAGGCTGTGAAAGGACACACAGGAATAAATTAATGCAGAAAATAATCTTCATATGAAACACAGCAGGGACAGGAAGGGAAATGCAGGGGAAAAAATGATGTTCTCACCTCCAATGATTTCATTCTTAACCTTCTGAAGCTCTTTTCTCACCTCCTCTAGCAGTTCCTAAACAATCAGATAGACACATATAAACCAATTCATCTTCAAATGACAATACCTCCATGTTGAGTAAAATCATGGTAATATCTATAGGGTTGTCGCAAAACAAAAATGTACTATTTTTTATTTTACATAAACTGTGCAAAATTATTTCTAATGTCTCTTAATTAAATAAAGATTTAATGAAATATAATTGAGAATTTCTAATACATTTTCAGTAATTTAATCAAGTAAACACCCAGACAGTACTCGGCTACCGAAATAAGTCAGCAGTCCACAGTAAAGATAATGCAGAAGTACAGAGGATGATATTATATATACACACCCACACCTGTATATGCTGCTATTATTCAGACAAAAGTATTAATTTCTTAAGAAAAAAACAAAACTACTGAACAGTAACATATATTCATATCAATGTTGTATCAAAGCACTGGTACTCCGGTACTTTTAGCTATTCGTTTATCGACTTCAATTCTGACCTGTTTAATTCGCTCCATCTCTGACTCTCCTTCTCCACTCTCGGGCTCTGCTGATTGGCTACTGGGTTTCATCCTGAAAATACAGAAAGACAGGTAATTATTAAATAAAATAGGAAAACAGAAGAGGGAAAAGGAGAACAAAAAGGGAAGGTGAAAGCAACGGCTTGTACACCATACCAAAATGCAATAAACTGTTCTAAAGAAGTCCAAAGTGACTTTTAGAGTTATTCAGAGGAAAACCCAACATCAAAGTCTCATCCACTTCCATGGCTTCAACTGGAATAATGTCATTGCAAAAAGGCTACTATGTGCGCAGTTCATTTCTATATTTATGTATTTACCTTACCTGAAAAAGGGGACATGCATGCATTTTTAGCTGGTCAAATTTGCAAGGATAGACATTTTGAAAAATGCACATCCTCTGTGCACCTTTAACTTGATATTTTATAAAAAGATTTTGGGTGCTAATTCTAAACTTGCAATACTATTTAGAAGGGTTAATATCTGAATTTGGACAAAAAGTGATGCTGCGGTTTAAAGTCATGGATGTGGAAACAGCTTTAATATGGGCTCCTACACAGATCTGGGAACAGAAGGAATACAGTTAGTAACAGAGAGCCCCTAATGGACAATAAGAGAATAGCAGCAGAATCACTTAAATAAATCCAAGCCTGAAGACAACTGCAAATACCCTCGAACAAAGCATGTAATACTGTTGAAAAAAGCATGTAATACTGTGACAGAGTTGCACAGATCTACAGACACTACAGAAAGCCAAAGAGTTTTCCAAAGTCCACGAGTTGAAGCCAAACAAGCTCAGAAACTCAGATCCACTCGTCACACGATAGGTCAAGTTAAGTCCAATCTACCAGAACCAACTCTGTTTGTGTGTGTATGGTATATTTATAATCGATCCTTAAATTGGTGACAAACTTGCTGATGATCTGCTTAAAAATGCTAAACCTAACTAATTATGATAATTAACTCAAAGATAAAGTAAAATGTCCCATAAAGTAAAATTTCCCTTTCATTGGTTCACTCAATGCCGTGTCAATAGCTAATCATATGGAAACACCCTCCAGTTGTGAAGATACAGAAATACGCCAGTATTTTGGCTGATGGCACAAGCGCTGCCCTCAATGGCACCATCACCAGGGCCTCAAAAGACAGAGTTTTATTACTTAAAAAACAGTGACGTTGCCGCATCATTGCTGAGAAGTATTTAGTACCGAAGGTATTTTATTAATAAAAGTTGCAGGGCAGTGTTGACAAGTTTCTGTACTCATGGATGTTTATGTGTGCGTGCAGCGGGATCTCAGATTTTTATGTGTGAGTCATGTGTGTGAGCTTCAGTATAGAACTGTGATTAAAAAGATAGGAACTACCTGTGCATTTCATGGTTTTAATGCACACCTTCCAGCCAATCAGAACTGAGTATTCAGACAGACCATGGCAGCCTATAGAACAGGGGTGTCAAACTCAATTCCTGGAGGGCCGGAGCCCTGCAGAGTTTAGATTCAACTCTAACTAAACCCACCTGATCCAACTAATCAAGTCCTGAAAACTACATGGTATGTGGGTTGGAGCAGGGTTGAAACAAACCTCTGCAGGGCTCTGGCCCTCCGGGAATTGAGTTTGACACCCCTGCTATAGACCATGGTAAATATAGACAACCGTTAACTGTTTAAAAATTTGAGGTCAGTAAGATTTTTTTTTTTTTTTTTAATCAATGTTTTGAAGCAAGGATGCAAATTGATCAAGCGTGACAGTAAAGACTTTTACATTGTTGCAAAACATTTCTATTTCAAATAAATGCAGTTCTTTTTGAACTTTCTATTCAAAGAATGCTGTTTAAATCTAGATTAAAGACACATCTCTTTGGCCAAGCATTCAAATAATGCATCTCATAATCTTGTACTGCAGTTATATCTGATCAAATGTGCATTATTATTTAGCTTGGGTTAAACAAATCAATTTTGCTTGGTTGGAGCAGCAGCTACGCTAATTAGGTCTCTATTTGTTTCTCTGTTTTTGCCACGGGATTGACATCTTTTCAGTTTACACAAACATATTAAGCAGCACTGCAACATTATAAAAACAAAATTGATAATGCTTCTAGAGCACCAAATCAGCATATCAGATTATGACATAATTCCTAAAGGATCATGTGGCACTGAAGACTGGAGTAATGGCTGTTAAAAATTCAATTACATGTTAAAATATTTTGAAATAGAAAACTCTTATTTTAAACCATAAAAATATTTCACAATATATTAGTCTTTACTGTACTTCTGATAAATGGAGACTTGTTGAGCTTAAGAGACTTCTTAAACTTTTGAACGGTAGTGTGTGTGTGAGATTTTATACACACACATATACATACATACATATATATATATATACATATACAGTATATACAGTGGGTACGGAAAGTATTCAGACCCCCTTAAATTTTTCACTCTTTGTTATATTGCAGCCAT